GTTTGTTTCTAAAATTCCAGTTTTAGCCCTTTTCGAAACTTCTGCAATCCCAGTTGATGACTTATTCGCGTTCCCCTCTACATTTACTCGACCACCGTCGAGTAGGTGTTACTATATATAGGCATCGAAATGCATGTGTCGAAGGTTCCTTTTTTTTCTCGAATATCGCGTTCTGAACTCAATAGGTAGGTAGATTGGTAGCACGGCCGCCGTGACTGACCTGCTAGACACCAAAACATATACCAATTTTTTTGCACGTGACCTATTACTTAATTTTGCGTCAGAAGTCACACGTTGTCCGCTATCCGACGCTAGATCCTAGATCCTGCTAGACCCCAAAACATATTTTCGCGTAATTACGTCGAGGAAGGTGACTCGGTAGTAGGATTGCTTGCGAAATGTTTTCAATTTTTTTTCACGTATTTCATTACTTAATTTTGCGTTGTCGGTGACTGCAATGGACGCTGTCCCGGCCGCACATTGCCTACCCGGATAACATAGATGACTGACCTGCTAGACACCAAAAAATCAGACGGTGGCTACATGATTTGAATGGACAAGCGAAATATTTTGAATTTTCTTCAAGTAATTTATCCTTTAATTTTGCGTTTTCGGTAACAGTAATGAACGTCGTCCGCGATTCGACGCAGTCGGATTGCATACGTGATGACGTGATCCGGCCGTCGCACATTGTCCGCTATCCGTCCAAGTCGGATAGCCTACTCCTATTATTATAGCGAATGTCATTCGAGGTGACTGACCTGCTAGACACCCTAAAAAATACGGCGGCCATATGATTTGCATGGACGTCCGAAATTTTTTAAATACTTTTCAAGTAATTTATTACTTTTTTTGCTTTTTCGGTAACAGTAATGAACGTCGTCCGCGATTCGACGCAGTCGGATTGCATACGTGATGACGTGCCCCAACCGTCGAATATTGTCTTAAATGGTGATTACGACCAAAGTCGAGGAACGTGACTGACCCGCTAGACCCCAAATACTATTACTATGGCGAACGTCACTCTAGGTGACCGAACTGCTAGATACCCACAAAAATTACTATATTATTTTTTTATCAAATTTCGAATTTCCGGCGGCGTCGTCGAAAAGACTCTGTCAAAGACTCTGCCCTGGCTACCACAGGCTACCACGTCGAACCGCAGTGGTCCTATCCTTATCACACATCCTTATCACCAGACCTCCACATCACCCATACACCGCGTCTACTGAGACCCACGACCACACCACGAGAATACCGCTGCTTCCGAAATCGACAACACTCGGGGTCCGCTGACGGGGGTCTGGGGGTGTCCCCAGTGTCCCTCGGAGAGCTAGTCTTACTATATAAAACGAAAACCCGTGTGGCGCGCCACGCGGTCCTTTTTCGCATCGTACTTAAGGGACGGCCAATGGGGAGCCCTCCCGGCGGCGGCGGAGCCGTCGCTGCGTTATCACTCCTCTTATCGCTTTTCACCGTTTTTCTCGAAATTCACGATTTTTTTTCAAAACTTTCGACTCATACCCCCCTCGGGGCCTCGGTCGGCCCCGTTTGGACCTTATTCGTTTTCCTCGGTAAATTTACAGTTTTCAGTTTTCAGTAGTTCATCTACTTTTTTCCCGGGGGGCCCAACGCGGCCGATATCGCGTGCGATACGAGCGCCGCCGTCGAGCGCGTTTTTTGCCGTTTTTTTCGAAAATTCGAGTCTTAGGCGTTTTAGGGCGTATCGACCGCCCCGTTTGGATCTTATTCGCGTTCCCGGCTAAATTTATACCCTACGCGCGGCCCTACTTTTTCAAAAACGAGTCCCCCGGCGGACGAATCGATCGCCGAGGGCGCCGCGTCGTCGCCGTTTCGACGGTTTTCCCGACTTTTTCGACTGGAGTCGCGTTCGGCGCTTTCGCGAGACGTCCGACCTCCCCGTCGGAGCCGTATTCGCGTTCCCCGCTAAATTTATAGTCGCCGCTTGGCCCTACTTTTTCAAAAACGAGTCCCGGGGAGGAGCGGCGTCGCTTAAACGAGAGTAGGTACCGATGGGGTATCGATATATACAGGCATAAATACATGCGTCCCGAGGTTCGATTTTTTTCGCGAATCTCGCGTTTTGAACGTCCGAGGGCCGCGGACACGGTCGTCCGCTCGCCGACGCGGTCGGATCGCCCGATCAAACGCCCTTTGACAGCCGTCCAAACGGCGTTCGCCTTTCGCGGGGACGGCGACGCGGCTTAATAGTCATAGATTTGACTCCAGTTTACAACTCAGTAGGTGGCTCGGTAGGTTAGGCGTTAGGTTAGGATACTCGTAGGTCGTGCGTTCGATTCCGGTCCCCGGGATTATCGATAATTTGCGGCGGCCGTGTTAAAATCGGAATTTTTTTCTCGAGTTTTTTTTTCGTCGTTTCGCCATCACTTCCGTCTTATCATATTTAACGAAAATGTTCCGATTTTTTTCAAAATTCGAGTTTTACCGCCTCTACGGACTTCGGACCTCCCCGTCGAAGACTTATTCGAGTTCCCCGTCAAATGATTTAGCGGACAGTATCTTTATTACTTTACACGGGCGTGAATATTTGCGTCGAAGAGTTCGATGTCTTTTTTTTTTCAAAAATTCGAGTTTTAGCCCCTCCTGGTCGTATTACCCTCCCCGTTTGAATCTTATTCGCGTTTCCCGCTGTATGTATTGCCGGCGCGATGTTTTACTTTTTTACAGACGAGTCCCGGTGAGGTACGGCGTCGCGGAAACAAGAGTAGGTACCGTGTAGGTATCGCTATATATAGGCTGTATAAATACATGCGTCGAGTCGTTTTTTTCTAAAGTCCGAGTCTTGGCCCGTTTTAGTGGTATTACCCTCCCCGTTGACGACTTATTCGCCTTCCCCGCTACACATCGAGTCCCGGGGCGGAGCGGGTTCTCTGAAACGAGACGGCCAAAATTGCCGCCATCGAGTAGGCATTACTATAATGTACAGGCATGAATTCATGCGTCGGAAGGTTCGATTATTTTTCGTGAAGATCGCGTTTTTGCTGTCCGACGCGGTAGGATCGCCGGCTACGAGGCCCTTTGATGGACGTCAAAACATGAAATATATAATATATACCTACTATGTAGTAGGTACTGCTGCAAATTCTATACAATCCGAATCAATTAACAAGCCTGGCAATAATTAAATTGCATAATGATAGGACTATATATATATATATGAGTATTTGATATTATTTTAACATGGCCTGGATTATATTGGAATACATACGATTATATTTTATGCGTGTCGGACGGTCAATAATCACGATAATATCAACGATACACGCAATGCTACAGTATGACCATTATTCATTGATACGGGTTGGTCGTCGGAGTGTTGTCGACGTGCGGGCCGCGGTACAACTTTTGCGACGCGAAACGCGCCCGTGTGTCTAACGTCATCTTGTGACGAACGCCCATGCAACACACAACCCAAGCGCACAGAAAAACATAATATAAAAGCTTATACAGTTATACCTATAATATATTAGCTTTTCTTGGCGTATTGTGTTCTGCGTTGGGCGCTTTTCAAAACCGGTATGTACAATTTTGAAATAAGTACATAATAATAATTTATCGTATAACGTTTGTATAGCCCGCGCGTACCTACTGGCTTATTCATGACATTGTACGTATTTCATTCGATGCGTTTCCGTATACGCGATATTGTTTATTACTATATACACGCCATTTCCGCCTTTACGCGTTTCGTATTCGATATTAATACGACATTTGGATTTCCGCTTGCCGTGTTCATAATATCCGGACATAGACTTGAACGCCTACGTGCGCAAAAATCTTTAAGCCACGCTTTTTGCAGTTACGACTTACGAGACCATATTTATAAATAGTAATATAGTATGTTAATTTTGTTTAGTTCATACTCGAACTCAATACTGTATATGTACACGTAATAATATTTATACCTACCGTGTAAGAATAATACAATTTACTGCATTTCTAAAAATAAACACACAACACCGGATTATTCACTGATAACATAGGTACTGATAAGACAATTCCATTACCCGAACACGGAGTTTTACTTATAATATTATTATTATAATAATATATAAAATGTTTGGCCGTTACCTTTTCAAAATGTTATTCTATATCTTTTTAGGCAAATATAACGATGGTCAAGCATTGTGCGATTTGTGGCAACGTGGATGGCGTCGATGGCGTTTCAGTTCATGGGTAAGTGCATTTACATAATATATACGATTACTTTTGAGATTAAAATACATAATAATTCATAATACAATAATTATTGTATTAGTTTTCCAGCGAATGTCTTTCAGAAGCGTCAGTGGGTGATGTTCGCCGAGAACAATGGTGTCAATCCTCTACGGATATCGCATAACTCCAAGCTTTGTTCGAGGCATTTCGTTCCTGGTCGTGATTACGCAGGCGCGGTATTTCGCCGTCGACTCATTGCTGGAGCAGTGCCATCAGTAGTGAGTAACAACCAAAATACAACATTTGACCGCTGTACTGAACAAATAGTGCCGGGCTGCACCTACTGCATACGATTCGCTCACTTGATCATTACATTACTATGTGTTATAACTTGACAACTCATAAAGTGTGAATATACCCAGGTGGCAGGTATTTTACAATGGCTACAGTTTGGTACTATACCTACTAGAGTGCAAACCAAATCCAAAAGGTAACTACTTGCATTTAGTTATTGTTGTTGGCAGTGTTGGGGAAGTTACTTATTTTTGGTAATTAAATTACATTACTAATTACTTATCAAAATTGTAACTAAATTATTTTTAAGTTACTTTTTTTTCATTTTGTCAAGTTACATTACTTTTGAGTTTTAAAAGTAACTAAATTACAATAGAAGTTACTTTTTTTTTTTTAATATCACTGGAGCTTAATAACTATTTTGTCTATATGACAATACACAAACTAAATAATGACAATCAATGAAATTATTAACAATTAATACTAATTTTGCTGCACATTAAATATTAATCTTTATTTTTCAAATTTATTTTAAATAACAATGCGTTTTCAAAATTATAGTCACTTATTTTTGATCGCTTTTTAGTGCATATATCTCCTGCTATGCTAAACAAGCGTTCAACAGAAGCACTTGAGGGTAAAGCAGTATTATACTTCAAAAAAATTAATCTCATTATTGGCATGTTTTTTAAAATAGTTAAATCACCATTAAAAGGAGTAAATAAAAACCGTTCAAGTTCAGCATTAGAATGCTCTATATCTATATCTTCATCAAAAATAATGTTATCATTGACTTCCTCAAGTTGATTTTGCTCTAAACTATTATCATTTACAGGTTTGAAATATTCTATTTCACTTTGAAGGAGGTCGGTAGCTTCTTCTTTTTCCATTACTGACATACCTTTGAACTTAAACTTTGGATGAGAAACAGTAGCTAAAATATTAAATTTGTCTAGCAACATTAGGTCAAACCTAGAACAGACACCATCTAAACATGCATTTGCAAGACTTTTACAAATAGTTGCTGTTATAAGCAGTTCTTTAAGTTGTTTTTTAAGCCATTTTATTGTTGGAATGAGATAACCCATAGCCACAAATTTATCTCCTTGAAGTAAATCTAAAGCCTGGGCCAATGGCTGCATTACCTGAAATAATATAACAGATTAATTTTAATTTCAAATAAAAAAAATTGTAGTAAGTAGTACTTAAGTACCTAACTAATTATTAAAAAGATTTTTTATACATCAATCGATTATATTTTATGACTTTAATACATCATAGAGGTACAATGTCCTCATTTTTATACTGAATTAAAAATTACCTTGCAATAATCAATCATAAAAGCTTGATCTTTTTTATCGAATCTTGGTAAACCTGCTTTATCACAAATGCGCTGGACTTCACTTTCAGATTTTATGAGTTGATCTTTTAAACATTTTACGGCTTGGAACGTAGAATTCCATCGAGTGGCGTTAGGTACAATAATATAAATATTTAATTCATCATGTATGGTATCGGCAATTAAGCTTGTCCTTTCTTGCTTATTCCAAAGTGCACGCATTTTCGCAAATGTTGATCTCAGTTGTTTTTTATATAATGGATCAGATAATGCTTTTTCTGAATCTTTAGTGGCTACTAAATTCAGTGTGTGGCTGGCACAGCGATGATGTGGAGGAAGAGAATATGGAGAATCTGCATCGAATGAAGTTTGTTCATTTAAAATATCACTAATTGCAATTAACTCTACTTCTTGCTCCTCTTCCATCTCCATATTTTCATCTACATTTTCAGATTCTGAATACACACTAAAAAAATTTAATATTAATTAGTAGGTAATAATGCTTTGTTGTTAGCAGTTACAAGCTTTTATTTGTAAAAGACATAATCAGTTTACAAATAATAAGTTATTATTTCTTACCGAAAAGCTTTGATGAAATTTGAACCATTATCAGTAACTATTTTTATTATTTTGTTAAAAATGCCATATTCATAAATCACATCATGCATTATTTTAGCCAAGACATCAAATGTATGTCTGCCTTTGATGCGGCGACAAGCAAGCGCAGCAGATAATCTCTGAAAACTCTCTGGGTCATACCAATGTACTGTTATACCAATATAACTTCTGAAACAGAAATTATAATTTTCCGGTTATACTTACATTACATTTTTAATTTGAACATTTAAATCATTGTTTTACAAATAATATTAATTTTTTACAGTTATTGTTTACAAACCTCTTAAAAACTGACCAGCAATCCGCTGTAGCACAGACATATTTAACTTCAGTGGTTGACAATTGTGCTTTAAGATTAGCTTTCAAATTGTCCGCAGTAGTTGAAATTTTACTCATTAAAGTTTTTCTAGATAGACATTGCCGATTTGGAAAACCTTTTTGAATGATAATTTTGAATTTTTCCTCTTCGACAATATTAAATGCATGGTTACCCATAATAACAAATTCAGTTATCATAGAATTTAAATTTTCTAATGAAATAAAAAAAAATTAATTTCAAAGAAATAATTTATAAATATTAAGTTTTACAAACCTTGACTAACTGGCTGAGCTCTTGAAAATGCATCCGATATTGTTTGTTGCACCTTTGCACTTTGGTCACAATCAAACTCATTATTTTTACGTTTATTAGTAGATTTTTCAATTTTTAAATCTGCTTCAAGCTCTTTTACTCTGGAAGCATGTTTTGACTAAAACATATAATATGTAAATTAGAATGTATTTTTTTTTAAATGTATGTAACAGTTAAAATTTAAAACAAAAGGCACAAATCGACAATCGTATCCCCAAATTGTAAAGGTTTGTCCAAAATGAAAATTTTTTCAGAAGAAAATACGCATTGAAAAAATTACACAATTTTAACTACCAACAGTGATTTTTTAGTTAATTTTGTTGTAAGAAATTGTTATGAGAATTGATGAAAATGTTTACATGGAAATTCAGCATTCACATAAAAATATTTAAATATTAAGATTTTCTCATTATTAATTACTTGCATAAATGATTAAAATTGTATTTAAATAGAAAGCTAGTTGGCAGTAAAATTATTTAAGTATTAAAGTATCTAGTATCTAGGTACTTACCGTTATATGTTTCTTTAAATTTGAATTACTCTTAGTAGAAGTAGAGTACATTTTAGAATTAACACAAAGTTTACACTTCACTTCAAAATTGTTGTCATTTACCGAAATTAACTTGAATAAATTGTTGTACACAGGCCATGGTAGCCGTAGCTCACGTATTTCACTTTCACCGTCTAATTCCATTGTATACAAAAAAATGCACTTCAATATTATAAAATCAAGTGATTCACGAATGTCGAATTGTCGAATAATCTAAAATTCTAAAACTTAAATCGTAATGAACTAACGAGCCATGACTAATAAGTAATAGCCAATAGGTATCAGAAATTCATAAGATTAGATCGTCGACGATAGACGATAGTCACCGATTACAAGAAACGAATTTGTGGGTAATTACAATATGCAATAAATAATAATAATTATTATTTTTAGTATTATTAAATTATTTATTATTATTATTGAGTTCCAACAACACTGTTGTACGAGCAAACTCCGACGTCGTGAGCCGGCTGCGGGCGACCGCGGTGATACAACACAGAGTAAAGATAACAATTCCATTCTAAAAATAACATTTTATCGTCAAATAGTCAATAGCTATAATAACAAAAGTATTTTAGTATCACAAGTTCAGAAAATTCTACTTATAAATTATAATAATTAGGTTTATGATATATTTTAATGTTTACACTCATTATCAATACCTACGTTCTAAAAATGTATTAATCCAAAAAAAAAGTAACGAGTAATTTAGTAAAAATTACTACAAAAAAGTAACTTGAATTACATATAAATTACTTACAATAAAATGTAATTAAATTACCATCAAATTACTTCAAAAGTAATTTCGTTACAGTAACTTGTAACTTAAGTTAAGTTACTCCCCAACACTGGTTGTTGGTTAACATTCTTTATTAAATTATACTCTTTTTTGTTATTGCTTTTATTTTTTAAAAAATTACAAACAATATTGCTGTTTCATTATTATGGGTATTTACAACCAATAAACAAAATACTTAAACGTTTACTTACACAGTTCTTAATATTACTACTACTACTTTTTTTTTTTTTATCTGAATCGTCCAACCTGGTGGGGGACTGCCTATATGCTTTGCTTTCCCGCCGGTCCGCCATGGTTTAATTAAATTACATAACAATATTAATTAAATAACAGCATCTACATAAATTAAAATAAAAGTTTGCATATTACAGATAATAATAATATTTACAGTAGTTACACATGATTATGATACGAAATACTAATACTACTGCTTACTTAGTACCTAGGTCTACTCGCCTTTATTTTATCATTTCACATTCAAAATGACAACAAATAGTGTCTTACCTACACTTTCTTAATATTACTACTAAACAACAGTGTTCAACACATTTTTTTTACTTTATTTATACAACTAGCTTTGTATGTACTACATATTATACTATACTGACATATTATTTACCTACTACTGATGTGTGTTATTTGATATATAGTGGTGATATTGAAGACTCTTTAAAAAATAAGTGTATGATTTTATTAGTGTGACATAAACCTTACGATCAACTTTTATCGTGTAATACATAAACCTAACCAACACAAGATTATATTCAATATGTATGAACACATAACCATTGAAAGTTCAACTCACCGTTTTTTTAACTTTTATGTGGTACTCTTAGACATGTTTATGAGATTTCAATACCTATATAATTTCATATAAATGCACTTACTGCATATGAGTATACTACACTTACTGTTATAGAGTTTTTTAATGTTTGTTATTGTTACGGTAATACCTAACCAACACAAGATTATATTAAATTATGTATGAACAACACACTCTTTTTTACTACTACTACTACTACTACTACTACTACTACCACTACTTACTACTGACCTAGGTCATTTGTAACTTGTGTACTAGATAGGCATTTTATCATTTAACATGTGGTACTCTTAGAAATGTTTATATTCTTTCAAAAGTTAATACAATAGATTTGTTTACGTTTATTCCGTGTTAATATTCACTGTGATCTTAGATATACATATTATATAAATTGTTTCTGTACATAACTTAGGTTACTCTGCTATACCTACTCATACTTTACAATACTGTACTGGCTCGGTACAACATTCTTGAAAACTAAATGTCTATTTTATCATAAGAATTCCATTCAGCTTATTATATTATAATTGTATGTGTAGAAAGCAAATTGTAGAATAACTTGAACGACATTCAATTGTGTTGCCACTGTTTCAGATTTCAGTTGCATAACAAACGCTGGGTCAAATTCATACATTGACTAAAATTTGATACCTAGATTAACTTACAACTATACTTATATATCAACTTTGACCTAAACAGGATACTTCACGTTTTGCTATATAAATTAACATTTTCTTAATATTACTACTACACAAAGTAGGTATTACTAGACTCTTTACTAAACTCTCCTTTTTTGTGAATTGTGTAGTTACTGGATAAGTGTTTTATCGTTGTGTTCATCACTTTCTTTACTTTATTTGTAACACAGTGTAACATATTATTTACTACTTATGTGTGTTATTTGATACATAGAGTGGTGATAGATATGGTGTACTTGATTTTATCACATTGGAGACCATGTAGGATTTTATTAGTGTAACATAAACCTTACATTCAACTTATCATAATATAAATATTTCATATAAATGCACTTATCGCATATGAGTACATACACTTACTGTTGTGTATGAACCCACAACCGGTAAAAGTTCAACTCATTGTATTTTAACTTTTATTATGGGTATTCACAACACACCCAATGAACAAAATACTTAAACATTTTCTTACATCTTACTACCATTACTACTACTACTACCATTACTTACAACTGACCTAGGTCATTTGTAAGTTGTGTACTAGATATGTAGTACTCTTAGAAAGAAAACTTACTGTTATACATTGCAATACGTTTTTACAATGTTTCAAAGTTATTGTTGTTAGAAAGATTATAACTATGTAGGTATGAATGCGCAACCAATTATACATTCTTCTGTGAATTTCTTTGTTTTTTGATTGGCTCTTGATTTTAGATTATACTACGATGTAAAAGATTTTATTATGGTTAGGTTAAGCTTTGAGTATTGATTTGACGTTCAATGCACAAAAAAAATATTAGATATTTAATATTGTACCGACTATAAACTCGAGTTATAACTATCAAGTTATTGTTGTTGGATTTAATAGTTCATTCAACCAAACATAAGTGTTTTATCATAGTGCTCAATACATTCTTTACTTTATTTATACAACAGACTAACATATTCACTACTGATGTGTTTTATTTGATACATAGTGGTGATAGATATAGGTATAGATATAGGTATGATTTTATTAGTGTAACTGTTATAGAGTGCAATACATTTTTAAAATCAAAGTCACACATACCTAACCAACACAAGATTATACTAATTATGAATGAACACACTTCCATTAAAATGTCTTCTTTTTATTGTTGGAAGTTAAAATTCTGTATTAAATTACTCTTTATTTTTATTCATTTTGTTAAAATGATAAACTGTATATTCACTCCTACGCAATAGGTAGTGTAAGTCACAGTTAACTCTCTGTTGGGTATTTACAACCAATGAACAAAATAATACTACTACTACTTACTACTGACCTAGGTAAGTAAGTCGTGTACTGTATAGGCAATTTATCATTTAACATGTGGTACTCTTAGAAATGTTTATATTATTTCAAAAGTTAATACAATAGATTGTATTGATGTTAGGTTAGACAGAGCTTAGATTTAGGTATAGCATAAACCCTAAATTATCATATAATTTCACTGTAACACTTAGTGTTATACAGTGCAATACATTTTTACAATGTAGAGTCCGTAGAGGCCAACCACCGCCGCCTCGATATTGCACGACGGGCAAATCGTGAACTGTGCGAAATCGTGATGGGTTTATTGGACGGTTTGCTGCGGGGCATCAATCCGTACGCAATGGCCTTTATGTAAGAAAACTCAAACTATTGTATTTATGAACACTAGGAATGTGAATTTAGCCTTACAGTAAATACATTTTACACATACCTTTCTTACAGTAGATAAAAAAAAAAAAACATTTACCAATATAATAGACTTAATAATGATTTAAAATAATGTATACATAGCAAATAGTTTTCTTAACTCCTCCTTATTAGTTATTTGAAATACCTAAGGTACTAATGATATAACATTAAATATGACATAGGGCTTGGATGTTTATGACTTAACATATTTATATGACTTTGGAGTAAAACTATCTTGGGGTACATTTAATAATACATTTTATACACATTGAATGTGATTCTCTACGCTTATTACACCTACACACAGGCACACAAATATTTCTTCCGTGCGCGGCCAAAAGGGGTTAAGTCAAAAGGGCTGACAGATATATGTATTAAAATTATATAATAAACATTGTAATTGATAAATCAAACTGATAAAAATTAAAGTAATATTTTACAATAAAATTAAACGCCAAATTGGATATGATAAATGATAAGTGTTATAACTTAAAGAGGAAAAAATATTGACTTAATCCGATTTTACCAAAAAATAATTCATATTTATTAGAGATAAAACACATAACAATCTCAAAATGTGTATTTTTGACTTAAGCCCTTTTGACCGTGCATGGAAGATTTATAATATATAATATTTAGTATAGATTATACTCTCACCGCTACTGATATAGAGTTAAATGGATTGAATGATCGGATGTTTTTATTACACATAATATACAATTATTTCTAACAATATCACTGATACACTAATACACCAATTACTATTGATTAATACATTTTAGGTAATATGATTTATTCTCAGCTCTTTGAAATCAAAATTCACAATTATTTGTACATATCATGCGGAGTGTGTTTAACATAAATATATAAATATATTCGTTTCAGGAACATGCGTCAGGTGTGGATGGCAGAAAGAGCCCTGGCCGATCCCGCAGCCGCACCACCTAGACCAGTCAGGATGAATTTCGTTGAAGATGCGGCCCGGGATAGGGGCCGAAACAACCTGCCTACCGCAAATGAAGTTGCGGCCGTGTTCGTAGGTGAAGGTGGTCATCCTCCCAGACACATCGATCTGGTCATCTTCGACACCAATCCAATCGACATGCAATACAGGTCGCAAAGGAT